CCCCGCAAAAAAAAAAAAAAAAACGTTGTAGATCTTGGAGCATGTCAGGTTTGATGATCAGATAAAGGATGCTCAACCACTCATCACAGAGAACCTTGAGAGATAAAATTCTCCACACCTGGTAGGCATTGCCCCCCTGCCCTTGCATCATACCCACATCCTTTCCCATGTGCAAGGATTCTTACTGCAGGCCTCTCACACTCTATTGCCACTGAAGCCCCTTCATGCCAAAGGAGAGAGAGAGAGAAATACTAGTCAGAAATAAAGCCACCTCTGCTGGAAACACTCACCACCCCCACTCCCACCATGATGGCTTTATCGAAAGGGGATTTAAATTTCAAATGGTAAAATCTGCATTTAAATTTCACCAGCCTTCTGCCAGTTCACCTCTGACCCTACCTTCTGCTGCAACTTGACTAAACTTGAACGAATAAATAGGAGTAATGCTATTTTTAACAATTTATTTATGAATAAAGTAATGTGCATTAATGGGGAGAGGAGAATCCACCGGTAGGAGTTCCCCACTCACTTAGCTTGAACAAGAGTGAAGACACAATTACAACTGCACATTGGAGCAACAGCGTAAACCAAAACAGGCAATAAGTGGGCAATTCCCTTCTGTTCCAATATGCCCCAATTAACACAACCCGAGGAAGGAATAAATTTAAGCAGGAACAGCTTATCAACATACAATTAGCACTCAATAATTTATCCCTGTAATGCCAGATCAAATAAAAACATTGTGTCATAAATCACTTACTCAAGTAAGCCACCAACCCCACGCTAAGATGATCTTTTGGTTGATTTGCTTTCTATTCACCAACCTTCTGCCACAACAGGTTTTGTGTTTTGTTTTTTTTTTTTCTTTTCTTTCTGAGATTCAAGACAGGCAGCTGCAGCAGCGTTTTCGACTCTCCAGAGTTCAAGGTGATATTAACCATAAACAGGATTACAGGGAGGGGCCAGCTCAGCCCCCATAGAGTATGCAACTCCCTCCTGATGGTCAAGTGGCCAATCTCTGCAGAGAAGTAGTGCTTTACTGTTTCTAAGAAAGGAAGGCCTTACTTGTCCTTTCTAGAGTATTTCAGATCTTTCAGTCCTTCCAGGTAGAAAAATTTTCACAAATCTTCCATCTATAGCTCCTATTTCATTTAAATCAATTGATACTGTCTGTATGGAATTTAAAAATAGCCTGTCATAACACCTATGAATTTAAAGCAATTCTTAATTTCCTCTAGTGCCCTCACCACCAAATCTTAGATCTTTAAACCTTTTTGTGCTGTGGATCATCATCAGCTAGATGTGTTTCCCACCCTTCTCCTTCCAATTGTTTCACTGACTCCCTTGCATATATGATTTAGCCAGAGAGAATCCTGGCAGAATACCAGAAAGTGGGAGAAGTTGAGACTCCAGGGCACCATTGCCTCTATGCTGGGAAGTACAGTCTACCTTTGTTATTTACAAATTCCATATTTACAAATTTGTCTCCTTGCTAAATGTATTTGCAACCTCAAAAAAAAAATCAATGTTTGTGGTTCTTTCATGGCCCTTCATGGACATGCACAGAGTGGTAAAAAATTTAAGTTGCCCAAGGTACACATTCCCAACAGGAAACACACTGATGCTCTGCCTTCTTGTTTCAGCTCTCATAGTGTCAGCAAATGTCCTTGTGTGTGTGTGTGTGTGTGTGTGTGTGTGTGTATTAAATGGTATATTTTTCTCATTTTTGTGTTTTTTGTTTTTGATGTCAATATTTAAAATGGTCCCCAAGCATAATGCTTAAGTGTTGACTCATGCTTCTAAATGCAAGTAGGCTGTGGTGAATCTTAGGGAGAAAATGTATGTGTAGGGTAAGCTTCATTCAGGCATGTATGATAGTATTGTAAGTTGTAAGGTCAATGATAATGAATCAACAATATCTGTTAAATAAGTTTTCTTTAGACAGAAACTGTAAGGAGCATCTGCCGTAAACAGGCTGGGACATGGTGGGACTCACTAAATTGCTGGCTATAAGGAACAGCAGCCATTGAACTGCTTAGTCATGTCTGCTTGCAACTGATAAAGAGTTGTAAGGGGCACTAGCCATAGACATGCTTAGCAATGACTGGTTACAATTGGTAGGGAGCACAGCTCCATGGACATGTGCAAAGAACAAACATGTCCAGTTGCAATTATATCACCTCACTGGACATAACCAATGGACATTGACTTTCACTAGGTGTAGCGAATCACCAATTTGGAACTGTATTTAAAATGCTTGTCCTGCCACATTGGAGAGTTTTGCTTCAAGGTTATCAGTGAGACTGGCCACCTTGCTGTCCATCCCTGGACTCCATCATTCCCTGATGTCCAGCTATCAGCTGGAGAGAACCACAAGACAAGGACAACATCTGCTCTTTGGCTAAGAGAAGTTGTGTGACATCTGAGGTATTTTGGAGCTTGTAGTTGTCCTAAGATTGTGTGATTTGCTTATAGTGTTTCATTCGTGTGCCTGGAATGCTAGTTGGGGTGTTCCAGCACACCCAACACTTTTGCATTAATTATTTCTATTTGATGATTGGTGTGATGGAATATACACTTGAACTTAAAGACAATCCGCCTCCGAGTAATTATTAATAGCGCTGCTTGCAACAGAAACACACATAAACAAGAAATATATTAATCGGTTAAGGACCAGAGACTTGAAGGAAACTAACCCTGTATTTTCTTTATTTCAGTGTTCAGAACAACTTTATAGAACACAACTGTAGAGAATGATGAGAATCTCCTGTCATTTCCAGAAATGCCCATGTCTTTTCTGGGATGCCATACCTCCTCTCTCCCGACTTCCACGCGGAGCCTCCAGTTCTTACACGTATCAGAGCTTCTGAGTTCTTGTAACATCACCTCTCCCTCTTGCCCCTCCAACCTTAAAGGTAACAGTAGCTCCCACTGCCCCAGGGTGATTCACCATCCTTTGGCTTTTCCCTCCTCCATCTCTTGTGTAATAAATTCTATGTGTTGAATTTCTTCCATTAAAACTAATAGAATAATTCATTTCCTGGTTGAATCCTGATGGATACACTTTCCCCTATTAATCCTATTTCCAATTTCTTCATGTTTTTATGTGCTAAGCAGAATAATGCCCCCACCCCCAGTTACACCCACATGCTAACTTTTAAATATGTTACCTTATGTGGCAAAAGAAGTTTTGCTGCTGTGATTAAGAATTTTTGAGATGAGGAAATTATCTTAGATTATCCTGGTAAGGTCAATGGGTCCTTATAAGTGAAAAAGATAAGGAGTAGAGTCAGAGAAAGACATATAAGGACAGAAACAGAGATCAGATTCATGTGGGCATGGGCCTAAGGGATGTACTTGACTTCTAGATGGAAAGACAAGGGACAGACTCCCCCCTAGAACTTCCAGTAGGAATGCAGTGCCCCCCTACCACCACACACATACCATAATTTTAGCTAAGTGAAGCCGATTTCTGATCTCTAGAACTTGTAAGACAATAAATTCAGGTTAAGTCACATAGTTTGTGGTAATTTGTTAGAGCAGTGATCAGAAGCACACTATCATTGAGACTTCCAGCTCTTTGTATCCTCAAAGCTGAGGGGCACAAAGTTGGTTCCAAAACTTAAATGCATTTTGATGTAGTCTCCATTCGTGGATCTATCTGAGGAACTCAGTAGGTAGCAATCACTGTGACTGAGAGCACTCAACTTCCTGAAACAGGGTGCTAAGACATTGTTGTTAGGCCTCCCAGCCTTCTCTAAAGGGGAGAGAGTAGTATCATGGCCCTCTGTGTACCCTACATCTAGCTTCAACAGTTACCAGCTCGTGGCCAGTTTTGACTCAGATGCAACCCTATCATTCCCCTGGCTTCCTTTGCAGCAAATTCCAGACATCATTTCACCAGAAATACTTCAATATGCACCTATAAAAAATAACGGCTCTTTTTAAAACATGACCATAAAACTGTTATTGAACCAAAAGAAAATTAATAATAATAGTATCTTATACAATCAATTATGCAGCCAGGGTTGAAATTTTCCCAGTTGTCTCGTGATTTTGTTTGCAACAGGATCCATATAAGGACCCAACATTGCAATTATGTGATGTTTTCTGTGTCTTTTAATCTTTGAGTTTCTCTCTACAACTTCTTTCTTCTCACAACTTATGGGTCAAAATTCACTGCCTGGGTTTTGTTGGCTTCATTCCTTGATGTTTAAATTTTCCTCTCTTTTTTTGTAAGTAGGTAAATGGTTCTAGTAGATTTATGAGACTCAGGTTCAATTTTTTGGCAATAGTATATTACAGATGGCATTTTGTATTTCACCACATTATCTAGTTGACTCTGTTTTTGTGATGTTGGCAACTATTAATGATCACTGCCTAGAATCATTAATTAATTAGTAACTACAAAATGGTATATTCAAATTCTAGCCTTCATTATTTAGTACCTGATATCCTTTAACAAAGAGAAATTTTCTGGGTACAATGGAGCATGAGTGTAATCCCAGGGACTCAAAAGGATGAGGCAGGAGCATCTTAAATTCAAAGCCAGCCTCAGCAACTTAGTAAGTCCTAAAGCAATTTAGCAAGACCCTGTCTCAAAATTAAAAAAAAAAAAGTAAAGGCTGGGGAAGTAGCTCAGTGGTTAGTTGTCCCTGGGTTCAATACTGTAAACGGGGGGAAAAGGGAAAGATTTTCCACTGATTATTTGGTTACTCTGAGTGGCAGTTCATGTAAGAAAGGCAGAAGAATAGAATGCTTCATCTACTGTTCTTAAGATTGGAAGACAATAAGTTGGCTCCTTGGCAACCTCCAAAGGTGACCTATGATGAGTTCTGTTTTTTAATTATTAATTTAATCTTGTGTATTTAAGCATATTTTATGTGCTTTAATCCAATATAATGATGACTCTTACTGGTGTTAAAAGTGACCCATACTTAGCTGGTGGTAACTCCGTCAAGTTGGCTCCTGAGTGTTTTAGACTCAATATCAGCAGTCTTTCTTGCTTTATGGCATGGTGCAATGATCCAGGATATCATATATTTCCTGCCTTAGGTCAAGAATTAGTCATTTCCTTAGAAAAAGTGGTCATGAAATTCATTTGGAAAAATAAGAGGCCCTGAATAACCAAAGCAATCCTTAGTGAGAAAAGTGAAGTAGGAGGCATCACAATACCAGAACTTAAATTATACTACATAGTTACAGTAACAAGAACAGTATGGTATTGGCACCAAAACAGGCATGAAGACCAATGGAATAGAAGATACAAAGACAACCCACATAAATACAGCTATCTCACTAGACAAAGGCACCAAAGTCATACATTGGAGAAAAGATAGCCTTTTCAACAAATGGAAAAACTGGAAATCCCTATGTAGCCAAATGAAATTTAATCTCTATTTTTTCACCTTGCACAAAACTCAAAGTGGATCAAATATCTACATATTATACTAGAGCCCCTAAACCTACTAGAAGAAAACATAAGCCCAACACTCCAACATGTTGCCAAACTCCTAAAGTGCAAGAAGTAAAATTTTAAAAAATTAATAATAATAATAATAATAATTGGATGGTATCAAACTAAAAAGATTCTTCACAGCAAAGGAAACAATCAAGAGCATAAAGAGAGTCTACAGAATGGGAGAAAATCTTTTCAACCTGCACCTCTGGTGAGTATTAATCTCTAGGACATATAAAGAACTCAAAAAACTTAACACCCAAAAAACTCTAATAACCCAATCAATAAATGGGCAAAAGCACTAAATAGACAGTTCTCAAAAGAAGAATATGAATGGTCAACAAATATATGAAAAAATGTTCAACATCTCTAGCAATTAGAGAAATGTAAATTAAAACTACACTGAGATTTTACTTCACTCCAGTCAAAATGGCAACTATCAAGAATATAAGTCATAGGGCTGGGGATGTGGCTGAAGCGGTAGTGCGCTCACCTGGCATGCGCGAGGTGCTGGGTTTGATCCTCAGCACCCCATACAAATAAAATAAAGATGTTGTGTCTACTGAAAACTAAAAAATATTTAAAAATTCTCTCTCTCTCTTAAAAAAATATAAGTCACAATAAATGTTGGCGAGAATGTGGAGAAAAGGTACATTCATTGCTGGTGGGACTGCAAATTGGTGCAACCACTCTGGAAAGCAGTATGGAGATTTCTCAAAAATCTAGGAATGGAACCACCATTTGACCCAGTTGTTCCACTTCTCAGTATGTATCCAAAGGACTTTTTTTTTTTCAGGGAGGGAGGAACTGGGGATTGAACTCAGAGGCACTCGACCACTGAGCCACATCCTCCACTCTATTTTGTATTTTATTTATAGATAGGGTCTCTCTGAGTTGCTTAGCACCTTGCTTTTGCTGAAGCTGGCTTTGAACTCCAGATCCTCCTGTCTCAGCCTCCTGAGCTGCTGGGATTACAGACATGCACCACTGCACTTGGCCTGTATCTAAAGGATTTACATCCAGCATACAAAAGTGACACAGCTACATCAATGTTTTTATCAGCTCAATTTACAATAGTTAAACCATGGAACCAACCTAGGTGCCCTTAAATAGATGAATGATCAATAAATGGATAAAGAAAATGTGGTATATATACACAGTGAACTATTTATTCAGCCATATAGAAGAATGACTTTATGAGATTTCCTGTAAGAGGATGATCTGGAGACTTATCATGCTAAGTGAAATAAGCTAATCCTAAAAAACAAAAGGTTGAATGTTCTCTTTGATATGTGGATGTTAACTCACAAGGGGGGCAGGGAGAAGTTCAGTGGATTAGACAAAGGGGAATGAAGAGAAGAGGGGGATAGGAATAGGAAAGAGTGGATGAATCTGACAGAAGTTTCCTATGTAAATAAATGAATACATCACAGTGAATCTCCACATCATGTACATCCATAAAACTTGGATTCTGATTAGAATAAGATATACTCCATGTTTGTATAAACATGTCAAAATAGACTCTACTGTCAAGTATAACTAAAAAGAACAAAGAAGAATTAGTCATTTCTTCAAGAAGCCCAAGTTATTCAAACCTGGGAATTACATATACAGATGACAATCTGTACACTAAGGATGCTTCTTGCCAAAGGATTATCATTGTTTCTGAGCCTTTTTGTGGTTAGAGCTAGAAAATACATTTTTAAATGTTAAAAGTACCTTTTAAGTGTAAATATTTCATTCCAATTCAGGGCTATGTAGTTTACAACTTAAGCTCATGGATCTGACATCTGTATCTGATTTTTTTCCCCCTCTGAAAAAAAATCCATACACAGTGATGCCAACATAATTATTCATATGCTTTATCATGTAACACTCTAGAAGAGTCTCAGAAAGCAATACTAACACTTCTACCTAAGGACAATATTATTACTAAAAAGTTTGAGATGCTTCATTCCTTGTTTCTGTTTTATTTTGTTGTAGTCTTTTCTGTTCTGAGGTTTTAACCTACTAGGGATAAATGGATGCCTTATGTATGCCTAGTTATCATTGACTCTACCTCTTATAAGCACTCTTTAAAGCTATAATGTCTTTTTATTTTACAATAGTTAAAGTCATTCAGCAGTTCCAATCTGTCTTTTAATCTGTGAAGATGATGTGATTGACTATTATAAATTTCACCCTAGCAGTAATTTGGTGTCCACATCAGGAAACAGAAATTACTTGGTCAAATGGGATGGGAGGTGTGGATTTAATACAGAGAATTGATTGTAAAATATCAGAGGGCCTGCGAGTGAAAGTAAAGTAGTAGAAAGTAAAGGGTTAACCAACCTAGAGATTTCTAACCATGCAGATGATGCTAGGACAGGAGAAGAGGAAGGGAAAGTCATGCCACTCAGTCTATCAGCTCCCTGGTGTCATTTAGTCCTCATAAGTAACCACATAAGGCTGTCACTGAAGGCTGCTGCTGGGAAGCAGAAAAACCACAAACCCACATGCCCACCGATGTTGCTGCCTAAAGCAAAACTATGGCTGCTTTTTTCCCATCTTCTAACCTCATCTGAGTGCCTCTCACTGG